GAATACGTTATATTTATATATATATATATATATTGTGTATTTCGGCAGCATTTTTTCATTCATACATGTTCCATTAAATAATATAGACAAGTGTTGTCTATTCATTTTATGTAAATTCTTTTCATATCGTCTGATAAGCTTAATAATATTATCATTAAACGAAAAAAGTAAATCACAATATTGATACATATTTTTAATCCAATCTAAGCTTTCGGCTTACATAAGCCATCATCAAAGATGACAATTACATTACAATATATTAAGCAATACACGGACAAGAATGGGATGATAGTCTGTTTCTGTTTACATGGATGACTTCCAAGCAATGATAAACACGTGTATATAAGACGCTGGAAACGAAAATCACACCGCAACTCATGACATCACACATGACCACGCGAGAGTGAATTCGAGAAGTATTAAGTATGGGAAGACGTTGGTATAAACCAATGGTTTTGTTACCAATTATAGATATTTAATGATATTTGTGGAGATTTCATAGTTTATTTTGTTTAGGTTAGGTTTCAACTGTTTTATGTGTATAGCTTATGAAGATTTAGTTTTTGTTTATTGTTTTCATGTTTAAGTATAATTCTGTTTTCGACAAGGAATTTACGGAATTGTGTATGCGGCCAGGCATATTGTTTTAAATGCCTAAAAATATTAGAGTTTTCATTCAAATCTAGTGTCAAGCATCGTGAAAGCGAGTTTGTGGTGTGACCAACATAAATATTATTCAATTCGTTGGAGATACAATCCATGTAAACAGAAACATACTATCATCACTGCGTAGAGTCGTTTGGGGACCTTGTGGCACGCTTGCACCAGGTCTCTGGATTCGACTCAAGTCTGGTTAGTTCTGCACAAAGCCTTCACCACCAAATCTTATGTGCTAGTGTCTGACTCTGGGTTCCTAGGAAGTGAGCTGCTTGACCCTCATACGTCGAATATGACGGGAGAGTCCACTATATATATATATATATATATATATATATATATCATGAAATGGACAATGTCCAACAATTAAATTATTTTAAGACAAATTTATGTTTATACATTCTTTTTTATAGATACATATTATTATATGCGTTAGTATATATTTGTATCTATAAAAAGAATGTATAAACATAAAAATGTGTTTTTTATATATATATATATATATATATATATATATATATATATATATATATATATATATATAAGAATTGATCAAAAGAACTTAACCTGAACGTAATCTGAATTTTGATTTACAATTTACAATCGATGAGATTAATAGAGAAATGTTCGATCAAGTGCATTGACAAAGAAGGAGATTATGTTAAAAATGAATATTAACTATCCCAAAGACATGATTTGTTTCATTTTATTGAAACAGTTGACTGATTTGTTTGTTTTTGTTTTTTTTTTGTTTTGTTTTTTTTTGTTTTTTTTACAGCATATCAACCTTTTGGAGATTATTTAAAACCGAAAAATGTTTAATTGTAGGAATAATTATTTCTCTCTTTCTGCGAGTAAATATTTCATTAACAATTAAAATTATAATTTTCTTGGATGTGTGGAAGGTGTAATGGGGAACGGCTCGGAAGGTGAAGTTTAAAGAACCGAGTTCAAATTCCAATCGAGTTCTTTATATTCACTTCATTGAAGTTCATTATATTCACTATCTCTTCTCTTCTCCCCAGGTATGGATTAAATAGTAGAACTGCTATCTCCAAAAAATTGTTAACGCAATATTAATTTTCGATTTTAAATAACCCAGAAAGCGTTGATAAGTCGTAAAAAATCAGTCATCAAAGCAACCTCTTTCCCACAGGCACAACATCGCAACCATATAGCTACTCTATCGCTATTTCCAGGGCAAAGGTACAGATGAGCTCCACATTTGGGTTTCACTAGTTCAGATTTTTACAGATAAGACTCGCTATGCTATATCCACGTAGATGAATCACTACCATTTTCTCTGTGTTCCAATTTTAAGGTGGAAGTTTCGTTTAGACAACCTTTTCCCAAGAAGTGCTACTTATTTGGGGAATAGGCACCCACGGGGATAATTCCCTGAACACTACCATCTTAACCTCTTCAAGTCATGGATAATCGTTTTCTATCCTCTCTTTTTCTCATAATCTTCCTATTTCTTGTTCTTATTCAGTAATCGTCAACATTGAGAGGCTCTCGTGCCTTGCAACTTAATAAAACAAAGTTCCTTCTCAGAACAAAACGCATCACTAATTAATTTTTGCCGTCTTGTTATTCATTTAACCGCTAATCTCAATGATAATAAAGGTTTATATAATTTTGAACATTGCTGTAAGATATCCAAAAATCTAATTTGCCTTCAAAACACTTTTTTATTCATCCTATATTAATTAAATTTTGAAAATAAAAGAGAAAAGATTAAGTGAGAAAAATAATTCCCCAGAGTCTGTAATAAGAAGCTGATATTTCTGAGAATCGAAAAAAAAAATTGGTAACAGTCTGCCATTCTGGAACTGTCAGCAAAGATTGAACACAATGCTGAAAATAACCAATGTACAAAGAGAAAAGATTTTTATTCAGCAACTGAACGTTCGTTTGGATGAGTATTAACTGATGTCTATGAACTTGACACCATCTATTTTTACTTAAAAACCATTTCCAGGATTATATGTTAAGAGAAAAAAAAAACAGAAAATCGTGAGCAATTGTTATGGCCTCAATTTAAAAAAAAAAAAAAAATGTCCGACGTTCGCACGGCTCTTAAGTGGTCCTCTTGTAATTTCGTCTGAACGACACGAGAAGGTGGGTCATAATTTGCCGTAACATAGGTGGGACACAAACACACACACACACATATATATATATATATATATATATATATATATATATATATATATATATATATAGAGAGAGAGAGAGAGAGAGAGAGAGAGAGCCGTTGAAAGCAAAAAAGGCACGAGATCTACTTCAAAGTACACATTTTATCTTACAATCTTGTGACTACTTATTTTTCTATCCTTTTACTAGACAAAAACACCAACTAATTCCTTAGTTTTCCTTGGTTCTTTTACATTTTGGGGCGGTAACAAATTTATCTATCTATATATATATATATATATATATATATATATATATATATATATATATATATGCACATACACGTTCAGACGCATACACACACGCAGACGCACACACACTCGAATATATATAGAGATTGATATAGATATAGATATATATATATGTATATGTAAGAATAAAATTTATGATACAATGATATATGAACTGACGTATACGTATTCCTATAAATGTGGTTGCGCTTACACTCACTGTCTGGTAGAAATGTTCCATCCGGGTGCTATCATTAATAGAATCAGTGAAGTCTTTCCTATCAGGAACAGTGATCAGTAGAAAAATCCGCCCAAACTTTTCTCTAGATGAAATATGGGTTTCTTCTTCCCGTGTAAATGTACAAAACAATCACGTCATGAAAGCAGAGAAGGACTATAAAACCCCTAAAGCCACTCACAGCTTCCCGTTCTGTGTTCGTTGATATCTCAAAAACGAAAACATATATCAACGAGCAAACATTACTGAGACCTATCTCGGTGAAAATGGTGCCTGGTCGTATGATATGAACAAGATGGCGAATTATCTCCACCCATTTTGAAAATGAAAGAAATATTTATGACAAGAGAATATTTTGGATTTTAGACGTATATGCAGGGTTGTAAACATATCACATACGTGATGAGAGACACCAGAATTCCAAAATATTTTCTGAAAGGCACCGTAGCAATTTTCAGATATCTTCAACCAAAATTTCTTCGTCGTCATACAAATACAAATGTATACAATCATAGATAGATATATCTGCAATGTTATCAGTCCTGATCTCGGCTTCAGTCACTTTCCCATCGCCATAACGTAGCTTTCCTGTGCCTTTTTCTATAAAGACTTTCACAGTAATTGTTCTGATTAGTTTTCCTCTTCGCTATCTAGACTTCATGAATTTAAGCGCAGTACCAGATTGGCAGCTAGGTCTCATCGATTTACAATTGAAATGACTCGATGTAACCGTAAGTTCTATTCAGTTTATTCTCTCTCACTTCTCGCTTGTTGAACTCACTTTTCGCTTCTTGCATTCCAGCCAACTTTGATCTTCCAAAATTTAAACGCAATGTCAATCGTTATCTGCCGTCCGTTACGTGTTGATAATTGTAACAAAGGAAAAAAAAGATTTACCACAACACAGAGCTAAATCACAAACAAATATTTAATTTACTAAAACACAACATAAAATATATACAAGATAAACAACTGTGGCCTACAAAACAGAAAACACAGAGTTACAGGCGGAAGTGTTACGAGGGAGAAGGAAAGGGAGTCAAATATCTTTATCACTTTAGGGCTAGTGAAGTAATCTAAGTGCTATATTTGGAAATCCACAAAGGTGTGTAAATAAATATTAATTTTTAGTTTGGTCAATGAAAATTAGTCAAAATTCTATTTACCAAATTTGTTCCATGAAATTTCTTTTTGGTTTTTGTTGGTCGGCAACTTTTATAGAGATTCTTTCGGCTGGATATAATAGTCCTTGAATCAAAAGCCGGAGTTGATAACAGCAGAAATTCCCATTCATCAACTGACAACCCTTTTCCAAAATCCTAACACCTAATTTGCATATTTCTAGATGTTTCTCGAATCATCTAGATTTTTCTCGGATATACTAGAATGATCTAGAATCTTCCAAACATTCTATTTCTAATTTCTCTATTTTACAACTACTTCATGAATGAAAACTTTTTTGTAATAACAAGTAGAACTCAGTGGAATCCCTTATTATAGAAATGCGTCCTCGTAACACGTCTTATTAATTAAAGTACATTTATTGTTATCTCGCCTTAATAATGTTTTTCCTCATATTCTTTCACTTCCAGTAGCCGCTTGATTCTTAGTGATTGATTCTTAGTGGCTTTATTGCCTTCCTCGAGGGAAATGATTTAAAAAAAAGAATACAAATCTAC